TCATACATTCCACATTCTAATTATTAATGGATGTTTGCCGCTGTTTCTTCTCATTTTGAGTCATGCCATATCAGCAAATGAAGGCGGAGAAGGTAAAAGGCCATGGGGAAGACCACATGGCTGTGAAGGGGAAGAAGAGGCACGTGTGGATTTATTGTCACAAGAAACTGGGAGATGGCCAGATGTTCCACTCCCATACTGCATCCCTGTTATAAGCCCTGCCGGCACAGTGGTTAAGTGCTCGGCTAATAACCGAAAGGTCGGCAGTTTGAACCCATCAGCCCACTCCAAGGAAGAAAGATGTAACAGTCTGCCTCTATAAACATTATAGCCTTGGAAACCCTATTGGGCAGTTCTGCTCTGTCCTACAGGGTCTCTAAAAGTCAGATTCGACTAGACAGTAAGGGATTTTTTTTTTTTTTTTAAACAGGTTATAAGCTGGGTCCCGCAGGAGAACCCAGGAACTCAAAGACCATAGTGGCTCCCTTCCTGCCTCGTCCACTGGTCCTTGTATGGAACAAACGCTAGGAGATCTGTTGTGGGTATTCCCTGATGACTTAAGGGATGATGACAGGGCAGGAAACCCACATTTCTGAGGGGCTTATTATGTACCAGGCTCTCTGCCAGACACCTTACATAGAATATTTGTCTCACAGCAAACACACACAGAAGTATGTATTATTTTCCCCATTTTGCAGAGAGGAGACAGACTCAAATGGATTGAGGGTTTTGCTTAAGGTCACACAACTGTGTATAAATGGCTTCAGGCTCAGGCCAACATCCCATATAATTCCTTGCCTTAGAGTCTCCACTTAGGCCTTATCTGGCCTTGGCTCCCGCATCTATGTGGACAAGGGAAGCCCATACGATAGGAAGGTCTCCCTTCTCCAGATCTGCAGTCTGTCCCCTGTGAGTTTCCTCCTGAAGGCCTGGCTCTGCCTCAGGAATCTTCCCAGAACAAGCAGAATCATCCACCTACCAGCCTCCACACATCACCCACAACAGCAGCACCTCCAACAATAACAGCTAACTTTTGTTGAGCTAACACTGTCTTGATTATTGCAGCTTTATACTAAGCCTTAAAGTTAGGTAGTGTGACTTTAAGATCAACTTTGATCTTTTTCAAAGCTGTTCTGGCTATTCTTTGCATTTCC